TTTACCGGATATACAATAGAAACAGTATTTTGCTGTCAACAAATGGTGTTATTCCACCATGAAGTCATTTTTCTAGCTTTACTATTCACAATATGTAGCATATTTTCGCAATTATCACAATTAATCAATGTATAACATAATGAAGTAAAATTACATTTCAATATTTTTGTTTTCACATACAGTGCATAATGCAGGTTGTTTCATAGGCAGTTCACTTACAAAGCAATAGCAAAATCTGCCCTTGTATTTATTTATGGCCAATGCCTTGTCGATTGACGTCATTGCATTAGTTATGAAATATACATACTACATGTACTATTACCCATGATGCTGCTTGATTACTGCTACAGATCAGTGGAAGTAAAGGTGAAACTTCTTCCCTGGGAACTCACTGTGTTTTCCTAACCTCCCACTATGGCCTATTCTCCTTTTCCCCCCTCCTGTCCTCTCATCTCTCCTGTCTGAAGCTGTTACTATTTATCTACCAACTACCATAACTACACACACTCATACACCTACAGGTCAACCCCCCCAACTACACCCCCTCCTTTTTCCTACACAGGTTGGGTCAGTTCACCCGACTCTGTTTTTTTTTGTTGCAGCCTGTGTTACTGAGCCCAGAGAGCAATGGTGGCCGTGGGGGGATGCTTGCCAACAACATAAAGTGTGTGTATCTGTGTGTATGTGTGTGTGGGAGAGAGAGAAATAGGGGGGAACATGTGGTAGTAATCTGGGTGTTTTACTGTCTGGCTCTGGTGGTGAAAGTGTTGGGCAGAGGCTATGAGCGGTCTGGATCGTGTCAGAAGCCGCCGGAGTCAGGTTACCCTGACAGACCCAACTGCGGGAGAGTACAGTGGGGGAGAAATGGAGGGAGACTGAGGGAGACTGAGGGAGAGAGAAGAGGGGATAAACAAGTGAGTGAAGGATGGGACTTGAAAGTTATAGAGTGAGGTGGTGGACTTTGAAAGCCAACCCTCTAACTTATTCTGTCCTCCCTCAGGACATTTTTATTAATCTCTGCATGTATGTGTGTGCAGTGCCTCTATGTGTGTGTGAGTGTGTGTGAACCCGGGCCAAAGGGCTCTAGAAGACGACCACTTGAACTAGCCCCAGCTGAGAAAACAAATGGTCTTGACTCTGTCTCTCCCCGCTCTTCTCTTCTTCTCCCCTCATCCAATTTGCATTTTTTTTTCCTCAACGATGGGCATTTAATCAAGTAAGGGAGCTAATCAAAACCAGAGAAAGGCTCCTGAACCCTCAGCTATCTCCTCCTTAATCCTAAAGCTCTGCTTCTCATTTGCCATTGACCTAGAGGACCAGACTTGTCCACTGAACCCCTTGCCACTGGGACATAGGGGGAGCTGGATTGCTGGAGAGTTTAGCGGTTAGCAAAAGTTTATAGCATGTGTGTTCATATGTGTGTATGTATATAAATCCATATTCTAAGGCACAGTAAAATGAAATGTCAACAAACCACTTCAACTATAGTGTATAAAACATGCAGAGGATGAGATGAATGGGGTTCAGGAATGAGGGAGTAGAGGGGAGAAGTGGAGAGTAGAGAGAGGAGTAGGGAGGATGGAGGAAGCACACGCGGGTCACGGGGGTTGAGGTGATAAGTCGCCTGCTGGGGAATTAATAGGGAGCAGATGGCGCTACCTTTACTTAATGTAGGGGTGTGGATACAAGGGGAGATATTTATCCGTCTGTATGAGAGCCGAGTCTGACGATGGCTGGCGGGCCGACTCCCCCACCTGAGGAGGATTTAGCACATTCCTGCCTCACTGTGAACTGGGAGGTGTAGTGGAACGGCAGAAGTTAGCTGTCAGAGAGGGGGGGATTTTCTTTATCCCTTTGCATGATGAAATGAGCTGAGAGTTCCTGAAGGTGAAGAGGTTTGCTGTTGTCACTTTGAAAACCCAAGGTTCTCTGTAAATGAATAATCTAGATGTTTTTCAGCAGAGGTATTCTTATCAAGTGCACATGGTTACCAATGTCAATCCAGTTTTAAAGCTCTTATGTTTTCTTTTCTTTTTTATCCTTTCACCTGCCTTAAGTCAGGTCATCTCTCATTCTGATATAGATAATTAAACTCTGAGGAATCGGGGCTCTTACATCCTTCTGAGGGAATCAATTCAAATTAAATTGGTTCCTACAAAAGTAGCAGGTACAATGTATAAATAATCCACTTTTTAATATCAGAGAACTTTAACCTCTAAATGCCACAATCGGAAGAACAGAATGTACCAATGAGTTGAAATCCTGCTGTTGTGAGAATATCTCAAGTTTACCCGATAGTTGAACAGAAAATGTTTTTTCTTATTAAAATAAATACCCAACCAAAAACAGCTTTTCAGGACATAAAAAGCTATATTTTATGACCTGTACAACTGACTGTAATGTCTTCCTCAACTTGACCTAGTCCTAGTTTTTCTATGGATACAGCAAAAGGAACCAGTGGGAGCTGAGTGGGTCTATCATTCTTATCACTTTAGTGATAATGGCCGTCACATAAAAGATGACCCGTTGAACTCCACAAATGCCAGAGTGGCCCAATTAGCCACTATGCATTTCATACAATTTGCAAAGGGCAAATGTTCCCAAGCTGTAATTATGTACTCACATTGCCCACCTTGGGTGACCTGCCAACCAGTCTTGACGTCCGTCCGTTGTTCAGGTCGCCATGACAGCGTTGGCAAAAACACAAAGAAAAAAGAGCTGCGGGGTCTATCATTGTGTCTGTAATTGGTCAAGTTGCGCTTGTTACCTAGCGAATACATAATGGATAGTTCTGATTGCACTGTGAGATGGATGGGGAAATGTCACTGAGGGGGATGGATGAGTGGGATGATATTGGTTATGTCTACAGTTTAACGGTGCTGCGTCTTTCATCAGCATCGATTAGGGGTAAACCGGAACAAAATATCATTTTATTACTATTGTAAGACCATGAATGCTTTTGATTTTCTCCTGGATGGAAAGGTCTGGCACTGACCATTTGAATTACAGATACACCCTTCGTGTTCACACAACATATTGCATATTAGGGTTGCACTTTTTTAGAGGCTAGCAACATTTCTCGGAGAGTTACTGAGGCGCACAAACGCCTTTGCCATGACGAAGCTTTAACTTCAGTGAATATGCTCAGACATAACCACGTTGGGCTGTATGCTCAAAGAGATCAATTACATTTTAAAATGGCCATCTCTGCCCATAACCTTATTCAGATTGTTGCATAGTTTATTCTGCTAAATTCTAGCTACCTTAAAGAACTTTGAAATATGAAGCTAGGACTAGCTACAGGTTAGCAAAAAGACAAAAAGACAACATACATACAAGGGTATTAGTCACCACTTGTAACAAATTAAAATCAATATGATACTTGAATATTGAATGGGTGCACCGTTTTATTTTGAAAAGCTTTATTTTGAAGGACAACCTTGTCGTTTACATGACGCCACTTCCGGACTCACGTTATCTATGTTTACAGCCATCAGAATGTATAGAATAAAAAGTAATGAATGAGAATATGAGGAGGAAAGGCTTGTGGCGTTACACATTAAACACAAAACGTATAAATCTCCTTATGTTATGCGAAATGAATCCAGAGAAACGAAGCCGGGAGGAAGACCCGCCCATCGTCGAAGCAGCCAATGAGAAGAGGAGCCAGGAATCGGATATACCAGCGCCATATAGATAGAATTAGATAGAATAGATTATCTCTATAAATCTCTGGAATATACACGCGCACAGACACTCGTTCTCTCTCTCCTCTTGACACGGCGCTGTGTTTGACCTGCTCTGTTTGTTCCACTAACGATACTTTATTAAATTACACATTTGAACTTTCAGAGACTCCATTTGTCTCTTTTTTTTTAACTTTCTCCTGGCTACGAAACAAAGAATACATCTACACACTCCAGGACAAGAAATCATTCTACCACATTCATAGCCGTGGGAACATGTTTCAAATGGGGGGTGCTGTGGGGATGACACCAGGGCTGGTTTTGACCAATTTGCTGCCCTATAGGNGAGACGCACCGACACAGATGGCTGCAAAACTAACACACTCTCACTCCATAGTCACAACTGCACGCCACGGGACCCTGACCAAACGTCACTCCTGGACGATTATGGAGTGAGAGTGTGTTAGTTTTGCAGCCATCTGTGTCGGTGCGTCTCTGCTGACTTTTTACACTCAACCTGTAAAAAAAAAAAGCACTTGCTCTTGAATTTTCTCCCTCTGTCTCTCTATCTGATACTCAAAGGAACTGCAGATGGATTTGAAGGGTGTCACTGTATCTGTGGACCCAGGGGGGTGGCCCTGACCACTGGAGGGGGTGCCTTGTTACACTTGGCCCTTTGAGTCATGGGGAGCGGGGACAATGCTGCTGTTAACACTCCTGACGGGGACCTTTGGGTTCTCTGAAATTTTAATGTGACTCTGCCAGCGACCTGCGCTCACTGAGGTCAGAGATGAGCGCGGCCCGGCGTCGCTCCAAGTTTGCCCCGTGTTGGTGCATTGGAAACTGTACGCCGGCGGAGGGGGGCCACTGGGTCCTGGGCTTGTTTTGTCCCCTGTGGAATGGATAATGAGGCATCTGTCTCCACATGCCGCATGGAGAGACAAGGCTCACTGTCACACTTAAAAAGAGCACAGGTTACCTATCTGATTTGTCCAAGGCAGGCTGGGGACATGATCTGAAGCAGAGGAGCCTTCAGCCTAAATGTTTTATACCAAGGCTTTCTTATTGCGCTGGGTGCTGCACCACACAAAGCTCCTTATCGAAACACTTTGTCTGGCTAGGTGCATCTCGAAAATTAAGATGCAAAACAACATAAGATGAGTCACCTACATATTGTCATTCCTCCCAAAGAATGCGGGAAAACGTGTTTTGATAAGCTAAATATAGAGGATAAGATTTATTTATCACAATTTACAACATGGTGCTGAATCTTGGTGAGAAATAATACAAACCTGCATGTAACAGCAGCTCAACATGGCCACTAACCCCCCGTCATCCTCTCCCGCGATCCTCGTGGAGCTGGTGGAGTTGGCCACAGGAACGAAAGGTGATCTTGGAGGGGTTTTGTCTTGGTGTAATCAGACAGCGACATCATCAATCATGAGAGGGTGAATTACAGTGGGGTACAATGGGAGATAAGATAATGAGTGGGGCCTCAGCAACCTGCTGAGGGAAAGCTCAAGTTCCCGTCCTGATTACATGGCAGCGGCACGACTGGCTGCAAAGCTCTCTGAGGAGCTGGCTGCAAAAATCCAAGATGGAGAACGACACTGTTTGTCCAACTTCATCATAGAGAATAGAGAGACTTAGCTGCAGTTCATGATCATTTCCACTGTATGAAATGGTGTTTAACAGGTTTAATGTACTACAGAATCAACAAACGAAGCCTAAATGAACAGCGCTTGTGCAATTTTGTAATCCATTGTTTATTGGTCTGACGACGATAACTCTGATGGAAACAACCAATATTCCAAATACTCCTTTGTTCAAGCAACGGTCATTGTTTTGAGTCTGATAAACAATTTGAGACACAAGAATGGAGTTGAAGTTGAGACAATAATATCAAAGGTGTTCATCCTTTTGAGAACCATCGTATTTTATTGTTTTATTATGTAATGTTCTTTGTGCAGTAACATTGACCTAATTCCATTATAATTCATGTCCCAAGATAACAAATGATACAATAAAGCCCAGTCAACAGGTAACATGGTATGCCACTGCTCCTACACATGTTAATATAGTGAGAATAGCTGTCAGAGTTCAGAATCTGAATTTTTTCAACTTATGAATTATATATTGTATATGTTATAATTACAAATGTCTACTTTACTAAGCAAAAAACTAGGTGTAAGCAAGGTTTAAACATATTCCCTTCCTCACACAACTGTGGTCCCTGTTCATGTGAACAACAAAGAGCACAGAAGAAGAGAAAAAATAGCAGCAGCTTTTCTCTTTTTGTATGTGCATAGGACGGACCAGCAAAAACTTGTATAATCATGCCTTGATAGGCAATCGCTGTAGTTATGTGCATAAAATGGAAGAAAATAGACTCGGAACCTGGAAAATATGTTTAGGGTTGCTAAAAATGGCTAAGAAATGACTTGTTAAGAAGCTTATATTCTGTCAGATGTTGGAAACAATAGAAACAGACTGCTTGTCCAACATAAACCTCAGCGAGGATGAAGTTTGTTTGCAGTTACAGTTCATCATTAGAAATCCATAACCATTTTGGCCATTTGATCATAGACTTGGTAGCTAATTAACCAAACAATATATTTACCCTGTACTGATTCAAATGTGTCATCAATTCATTTTATACTCTCTTATTAGTATACACATCGCTCGCCTGCAGACTGCACATGTGGAGGAACAACAGACTGTTTAATATCTCATCAGACATCCTAATACACAAGCTTCCCCCTCCTCTCCTGTGCTGCCATGAAGCGTGCTCGCCGTATGTCAGCACCCTGAGCCCCATGACGCCCCGGCTAGTCCACACTCTCACTCCCTGACATGTGCCACCGCTCGCTAATCCTCCTCTGATGCTCCTCTCTGCAGCATCACACTCAAAACAATAAATGACCACTGCGCTGACCTCAGAGGGCAACTGGCCCTCACTGCATCTTCCGTGTTCCCCCTATGTTAGGCCATATTGGTTTTCTATAAAATGACAATGAATAAACAGGAGCTTATTAGACGATTATCTTATAGCAAAGCAGGGAACATAGGGGTGGACCCTTTATACTGCATCTGCTGCCCCATGGAAATACATTATTTTCTTCAGGATTATAACAGTTGGAGATTTGGATTTTTGAAGATAATATGGTTAAAAAAGAGAGGATGTGGATATCATTTTAATTATGCCTGAGCCGATTAGATAACAATATGATGCATTTAGTAAAGGCGGGAAAAAAGTGTGCCAGACAAGGCATCTGTTTGAACTAGGGGATGTAAGCTCTGCATTTCATTTGCATGAGTCATAACGAGCAGCATCTGTGTTATTCAAAGATAAATCTATTGGTCATATTGGTCGGCTTAAGGGCTACTATTGATGGCACAACCAAGGTTTCATGGGCGACTCAAAGTTATTAACGCAATCAATTACATACATGTTTTAAGTAGAGCTGGATTATTGGACCTGCAGCAACCAGTGAGTTCAGTATGAGGGGTTGAATATCAAGACTTTGGTGTGGCAAAACTGTTTTATTAAACTATTATATCCAAAAGCACAGAACAACAATAGGAAATTCATGAGGATCTCACAAAACCAATTTAGATTCAAAATGTCACCTAGAAAACTATGTAAACTGTATACATCTTGTATAAAATAATTCCACTTTATAGCCTTTAAATAACATCCTAAAAATGTTTTCTGAAAGGTTCCAATGATATTTGACTTCTTATATTGTACTGCTGGATTCTCTCTCTGAATTGTAGAAGCAACACAAATTAGATAGGTGGATAAAATTACTAAAATATTTCACTTAAGAGCAGTAGAGTAAATGTATTTCATCACTGCAGACAACATAACCATACAGAGGTAAATCACTGATCTTTTTTGGGACATATGGTAAAAAATGACCCTAAGAGAGGACAATACTGTTACCATGCTGCTTCTGTTCAACAGTGAAACTGTCCCTACGTTTATTTTACTGAGGTAAATCTTAAATCTTATGATATTTGCACAGGCAATTGATTTCCTCCCTCTAATTATTATTTGGATGGCAGATGGCGGGTCCGTGGTAATCCCAGCTGCCCATTGGCCTGACCCCGAGCACTCCACCCACCTCCTCCCTAACCAACATGCAGCACCCCCACCCCCCGAAATCTTAACGAACCCGCTGAGCCGCAGGGCCAAAGAGCTGCTTTAAACCGGAGTATTGGCTGTGTCAGCGGTCAGTAGATGAGCCGGAGGGTGAGGGGATGAGTGAGGTATTAGAGGCCCATTAAAGCTGGGTTCTATTGTTAATGGAAATATGTATTGTAAACACTGTAACTGTACACTCCAGAGTCTCACAAAGAAAACATTGCCAATTTATTTGACTGTTTAAAAATAAACAAAAAAAGAAAAAACTATTTAAAAAATGACTTGCAATGAGGATTTTTTTGTAAATTACCAACATAAATGTCAAGACTCGGGAAATTGTGGAAAAGGTAGGACCCAAATGCAGACTACAAAAAGGGTAAAGGTCTATAAACAAAAGTGAGCTTTATTACAAAAGCCGATGACAAAAAAACATGACATGAAACACAACGAAAGCACAAGGAAAAAACATTACTGAAAGACTGACCGTGACTGACATGGAGGGAGACAGGAAAATTAAACAATGAACCGACATGGAGCACAGGGGAAGACAAGACTAAATACAAAGAAGGGTAATCACAGGACAAGACACAGCTGGGCAGGGGAGGCGGAAACACAAGGGCAACAGGTGAACACAATCAGACAATCAGACAAAGGAGGGCAAACACAGAGACAGGAATCAACAGACAAGACAGGGGGTGAACACTTTTCAAAAATAAAACAGGGAAACCCAAAGGACAAGACAAAACACAACACAGACAGACCGTGACAATAAATCAACTTATTTTTCATCACATGTTTGTAGTACTTTACACTTTTTGGACAGCTTTTTAGTTTTTATTGAATATTTTGATCTTAAATGTCAAACAATAGCAACCAAAAGCATATCACATATCATCATAACTAAACTCAAAGCGCTATTTATTTTGGAAAAAAAAATCGATCATTTATATTAAAGAAATGCAAATGTATGGTCCACCCTTCATGTTCATTGTACTGTATGACTGCAGATAATCTCTGGTTAACCATTACCTTCTGTTTACAAGCAACATACACCAACAAGTACAATAATTGCTATATTATTCAAAATTAAGTTTTTGAAAAGTGACACAGAGGAAGTGTGACACCTCTTTAAACTACAGTACCACCTTTACTGTACGTGTGTGTACAAACAAAGCATTGATTGTGGTTTAGCAGAAATGTTCAATGCTCTTTCTCAATGGCGCTCATTTGTATAATCTTCTTGCTTCCTCTGCGTTTTCCACGTGCGGGCCCTACGCTATCTAGAATCATCTGAATTAATCCACCGCAGCAGAGTGGTCGAGGTGTATTAGTTATTTTGACTGATAGCGCATCTGCCAGACCTGTGGTCTAATTTAGGTTTGATTTTATTCAACCCCAGAGTGTGCATATCTTGGATTTTTAGGTGAAAATAGGTGGTTGAAGTACTTTCGAGATCTGCATCCTCCAAGCAAAACCACAACAAATGTGCTATTATATTCACATTAATAAAACAAAAGTATCCAAAGTTAACAGATTTGTTTTAAATGACAGGCGCAAAATTACTTTGGTTCATAATGAAAAACAAAAAAAGATTTTAAATATTAATATCATTCTCTGTTATGAAAGGTGGGTTTGCGCTTAATAATTAAGTAAGACCAAATTTGCTTATCATATGAGAGTTTTTTATGTGCCATCCAGTCATTTTCTTTTCTTTTGTATTGCTCTAAATGCGAACAGCGCTATACATAAATAGAAGTGACAGTAACACAAAACAATGCTTGGCAGCAGCGAGCTTGTCTGCTGCAAAGTGTCCGTGGATGTCCTAAAACCGAAAGGCCGCGCGGGGCCCTGAGCTGCATCCAAGAGGCTCAGGCCGAGGTCCATGCTGACATTTATCTCTCCGGGCCGTTCTGCTGATGGCAGCACAACGTCGCTTTTATGAAGCAGCTGTTTACTGTCAGCAGATCCTCTAGTCATGACCAGAGAGAGCTCCTGCCAACAAGTTTACTCACCAGACTGCACGTACAGTCTGGAAACCCTGAACGATACAGAGGGGCATTTTTCGAACGAGGGGCGACTGTTGTAAATTATTTTATTTTATTTTTTTCATTTTTTTTAAACGGTTATTTCAACAACAAACAGTCGTAACCTACAGGAAATGCTCTTAATATTTGTATATCTATAAGAATAACCCTTAAAAAAACCTCTCNGAGCCGCTGGCTGCTGCTGTCCTGCCCTGC